AAAAAAAAAAGTGTGTCCTATCTGTGATTGAATAAATCATGTTTTCTTAACAAAATGTAAAGCAAAGTTATTCAAGTATGTTTTAATACATATTTTAGTAGTTCAATTAGCACATTTTGATACTTTGGATCAGAATAATATAGTGGCATCATTTTTATGTAGTTCCATGCTTAATAGGACAAATTGTGAACCCCTTTTCTGGCTCTGTGTTTCTCCAGGAGAGAGTCATGTAATGAAGGAGAGGGCGACCCGCCTCTTTATGTCAACGTCAACATGTTCAGTGGTGAGATAATGAACACCTGGATCGACTCCCTTCAGGCCTTCTTTCCTGGGCTGCAGGTGAGATACAGCTTTGCCAGGTCTTATATATAAGTCTAAAATATGTGTTGTTGCAACAACTAAAGTTAGGTGTTGTTGTGGGTGTTGTAGGTGCTGAATGGGGATGTTGATAATGCAATCTGCCTGCACGCCTTCTACTATGCCATCTGGAAACGCTTTGGGGCTCTGCCGGAGAGATACAACTGGCAGCTGCAGGCGCCCGATGTGCTCTTCTATCCTCTGAGACCGGAGCTGGTGGAGTCAACATATCTGCTGTACCAGGTAACATTTACTTGCCTGTTGTAACGCAGCATTGGTGGCGGTGGTTTGTTATACTTCATTCAAAAGTTATTCTTCTTCTCTTCCCGACAGGCGACCAAAAATCCTTTTTATTTGCATGTTGGAATGGATATTCTTCAGAGCCTTGAGAAAAATGCCAAAGTCAAGTGTGTAACAAAAATATATACTCTATACAATATTAACAATATAGACACATACATATATATTTTATTTGTTTGAGCTTCACAATGCTTTGATACTTTTAGCTGATTTGCAGATGTGGGTATGCCACTCTCCACCATGTTGTGGACAAATCCAAAGAGGATCGCATGGAGAGCTTCTTCCTCAGTGAGACGTGCAAATACCTTTACCTGGTGAGTTACATCTGAATGTTGTTTTGATAAGAAGCTATTGAAATAAAGACTTTAAAGACTTGAGTGCAAGTGAGTGGTACTATTTCTTAACTGCAACCACATTTCGTAATATTCTTACATTTTAAATTATTGCTGCTGTCAAAGAATATTTCTGTCTTTACTTCTAGATATTTAACCTTTTCTGTGTGTTGACGTTTACGACCAACCCTGAATCTGGTATCTGTCTTAAGGAATGGGAAGTCTCAGCTATTGTTGACATTACCTATGTTTATTTAGGACTGTGAGAACGCTGGCTTCTGAGCACCACATCTACAAGTGATTCAGTATTTACAGATGTTGGCGATATCTCCAGTGTTCCTAGGTGTTTACGCACCATCCCCCAATATGTGGATTAACTCTCTCTAAACTAGTTAAAAGGTATATCTAGAGAGAGGCTTGGCAGGTTTGACATGGCATCCCACCAGGGCAGTCAGAATCTCTGGCTGCTCTGTGACTTGTGATATGAATTCTCTGGCCGATACTTGTAAATAAACATCAGTGTTTGACATCAAAGCTCCAACTCTCCTTGTGTCTCTCTGAGTCCTGACTCTCCATTGCTGCAGAAGTTTCCCTTACAGCTGCAATTGATGTAAATTATGTCACAATTTCCAATGTTGGCATCCTCAAACCTAGTGGTATTTTCATCTAAATACTTGACCAGTTGAAAACAGAAAAATACCAATTGATACCATTGTTGTTCTACGAATGAGTTGGAAGCATCACAATTCACAGCTGTTTGTGGCTCAGAAATAGCAGATAAATAAGCAGGTCCTGCAGGGATCTGGCACGCTGATGCTCTGTTCAGACGTATGGTGTTAGTTTGGATTAGCTCAACACATACAAATGGATAGAAATTGATCTGGTAGCCTACAAACAATCTATATGTTGTATGTAATACCTAGAGAGCATTAGAGAAATTATTTGTTTTAAAAATGCGTTACTAAGAACACCCGTCGCCCTCTTTTGGTCCTATAGACAACATTCTCTGTCTTTCGTTGCAGCTGTTTGATGAGGACAACCCACTTCACAAATCCGATAACAAGTACATCTTCACCACAGAGGGTCACATTGTGCCTATAGATAAGCGCTTCAGGGAGAAACAGTGGGATGATGAGTTTCCTTGTGAAGAGGCAGTGCTGGCCGAGCAAAAGCCAAACAACCGGAAACCACCACCGAGCAACAACAGCAATGTAAGGAATCATCTTCACCCAACCCACTATTCACTATTTTCAGTGTCATTCTTGACTTAAAATGTATTAAGATTTCTTTCTTAGAAAAGAGTATTAGAGCCAGGCATAATTGCATGAGAATAAAGTGAAAATGTCGAGAATAAAATCAAAGTAAGAGAGTAAAGTCATACTTTAAATAGTATTTGTCGTAATTAGAATCAGAATTAGGTCTCCCTTATGTGTCCCAGAGTGCAGAAGTGTACAGTGTTACAATAGCAAAGTGCAGATACAAATAAAATGAGAAAGCTAATAAAGAAAAATATTAGCAACGAGCAAAATACTAGCATTAGATCATAAACTGAGAGTTCAACTTAATTCTCGGAAATTGAACTTGAAATGGATTCTATAAATAGAGGGGGAAAAAACATCCCCCCTTTTCTGTATCACGGCCATCATATACCAACCTTCTTCTTTTTCACTCTCTCAGTGCAACAGGATCCCAGAGGAGCGACGGTACACTCTGCCGTTAAAGAGTGTGTACATGAGGCAGATTGATCACATGGTGGGACTTTTCTGAGTGAGAAGATGCATTCAGTGACTTTTACATAAACAGGCCTTCAGTTCACCCCCCCTCAGGCGCAGGTGAGGTTAAAGAGGATCCACTGTTGGTCCAAATCCTCGTCCCATTTGTTCCACTGCTCTGGATCCAGACAGGAAACTGACACTAAGGGAAACCTGAGAAAGCAGATTGATCACTTGCTGTATTTCTTTAAAGTGTGTGTGGGTGTTTCCGCTCTTTGGTGAAGGAGCATGTGGTCGACAACTGTGAACAACTTTTTTGCTGGAAGATGAGGAGTCATGCTCAGTCACTTATTGCCTGGTGACAAACCTCAAAAGTGGATTTTAGAATTACCGGTGTGTTTTTTGTCTTTTTAGGGATTGGTTCAGGTATGAGTGTTTAAATGTGTGTGTGTGATTGTATGCATATTTGAAATAACAGCTGAGCTGTGAGTCATGATGTGTTTTGGGTTAAAGTGCCATCTAGCCACACATATGTAAAATATTAAGCCACTCACCTCCCGTCTCTCAACATGATGATTAGTGCCTCCTTGCCAAATATCCTCTAGACTAGATGCGTGCTTTTAAATAAGGGCTGCTCGTTCACAGTTAATGACAGAGAGAGAGGCTCAGGATGAATCTCGCAGTTTTTAAAGTGCCTTCAGTTTTTTCATGGTCTTCCTGAATGCAGCAAATGTTTTGGTGGATACCATTGTCAAGTATTCTTTGAGGCCATTGTTGATATTGCACAATAGATGTCATTCCATGTGTATGTACAGTTTTACACTAATTATCATGACATTTAGCTCTTGTTTTCTTTCTTTTTTAAATACACAAACAAGCCATACGGTGTCTTTTTTTTAAATGTCAGCCATCTTTAGTTCACAGACTCTCCTGCAGAGATTATTGTAGATGGAATTAGCTTTTTTGTCTTTCTGTTTCATAATTGCACATCATAATGCCTATTAATTATCATGTGGTAAGAACTCAGGGTTTAACGGAAAAACTTAAATCAAGGATTGCTTTCTTAGAAAAATAAAACGTTCTTAAATTGTTGTTGCCTAATGTCTTAGGATAGTCTTTGGTATTTAATTTATATTGCAAATCTTCCAACTTGGTTTTCTGAGATCAACAAATGAACACAACAAACTGAAGTACAGTTGTACTGTGAATATTCATTATTGTTCCACACAAAGAAAAGTGTGTGACGTTTGATTCCTGAACAGCTCTACTCATGTATCCCTCCTGGACATGTTGTGCCAAACATGCACAAGTGCATGCTGAGTGTCTGCTCAGCAGAGCTGCAGGCGGCATGGCTCGATAACATCGTAGCATCGGCATCTTTCTTCTGGCTTTGGGAGACAGCTGTTTATATTCTCAAGTGTTTGCTATAGGAGTGAATTATTTTTAATTAGCTGACATCACCCCTTTGTTTCAGTATAGCTTAAAAAAGATTGTAACATTTTGAGAGTTCACTTTCTGTGAGTGTTAGAGGAAAGTATTGATACTAACTGATACCATTGTTGTTCTACAAATGAGTAGGAAGCATCAACATTCACATCTGTTTGTGGCTCAGAAATAGCAGATACATAAGCAGGTCCTGAAGGAATCTGGCATGCTGATGCTCTGTTCAGACGTATGGTGTTAGTTTGGATTAGCTCAAGACATACAAATTGATAGGAATTAATCTGGTAGCCTACAAACAATCTAGATATTGTATGTAGTAACTAGAGAGCATTAGAGATGATACTTTTTTTGATAAGTGGACAGAGCCAGGCTAGCTTCTTCCCTCTATTTTCAGTCTTTGTGCTAAGCTACAGCAGTAACCAGCTGTCGGCTGTATTGTGAAATTTGCCAAACATATTATTGAAGTTCTCAGCAAACTTTCTCAACAAAAGCAAACTAATGTTTTATCCAAAATGTCAAACTATAATATTATTAAAAGGTAGAAGCTCTTCCATTCAGAATAATAGTGGTTTAATAATTATTGAAAATGAAACTGAAACATTCTGTGAAACTAATAAAAGACCGATTATGAACAAGACATTTCTGTGTTGGTTTTTATTTGTGAAAAATGGAAAACAACTCAGTTTTCTACAGAAGCTTTAATAGGTTTACAAACATTGGTCTTTTAGACAGTAATTTTAAGGTTGAAGTGTATGACAGCTAGGCTTCCATTCAGCAGTGTTACAAATCCACATGGTTTCAACACACTTCATGAATTTCCCATTAGAAAACAGTTTAATTATGTACACTAGCCCTTTCCAACTATTTCAATATCATATGATCTAACTCTTAACTTAAAAAATAAAAATGTTAACCTGTTTGAACTGTGTCTCAGATTGTGCTGCAGAGTTCCTGTACATAAAAGCCACTAGTTTTGGAAAGATCTGCATCTGGAGGGGCTTTCTGTCTGTTTTCTGACCAGGTATTGCAACACAGGTGCATTGGACTGACAGCATTTTTTTGTTTACATCCTTCATTTTATGCAGAACAATACGCTTTTGATTTCTTAACAAAATATTGAATAGACAATCTCAAGAGATTCAGGAGAAAAGTCAAAATACAGAAAGAAAAATGTAACTCATCTGAAATCTGCACATGATTTTCTGACTGAAGAGCTGTCTTCTCGTCTCAGTCGTTGGTCAAAGCTACAACTTAGTTTTGAACACAGTGAATTGATTTGTTTGTGTGTTTGATGGATATAGAGAACAGTTTTCATTTTCAGTCTTCAGTTTGAATGCATAGGGGATTTGTGGAATGTGACAGGGCTGCATCACCCTGTAAAAAAGAAAGAAAGGGACACTGCTTATAAGCTGGTCCAAAAGAGACTCTGGAACACTTTCACAATACAGTGCAAACGTACCTCACCTTCATTGTGTTTCTCAGCCTGGCTTTTAGAAGAGACCACAATCTTTCAGGTTTTCTTTGATGATGATGTCGGTCACGGCGTCAAACACAAACTTGACGTTCTCTGTGTCTGTGGCACAGGTCATGTGAGAGTAGATTTCTTTTATGTCTTTCCGCAGGTTCAGGTCCAAAAACTGCATTTTGATGTATAAACCAGCATCCTCATAAGTATTGGGGCCTTGGTGAAAAATACATAAAGATAAACGAGCACTTTTAATCAGTTTGTCACGTTTCAATATGCTGCAAATTCTGTGTTTGATCCATCTCACCATCGTATTCAGGGAAGCACATGCTGAGATGAGCTTTCTTGATCTTCTCAACGAACACGTCTTTCTTGTTGAGGAAGAGTACAATGGAGGTTGCGATAAAATAGCGGTGGTTGCAGATACTGTTGAACAAATGCAGACTCTCGTGCATTCGATTCTGAAAATGTTTTACACAAAGACAGAAGAAAGACCCATTGAAACTAGCCAGCTGTTGATTTTCCCCAAAAAGAAACAAATAGTGTCCTATAGAATATGTGTGGGATATTACTGTTATCATACCACTTCATCATCCTCCACCAGGACCATATCAAAGGCGCTTAAAGCACCAATGAAGATGATACAGGTCACACCCTCAAAACAGTGGATCCATTTCTTCCTCTCTGACCTCTGGCCCCCCACATCAAACATTCTGCATGGAAACAGAAACACATTATCTTTATGATTGCAATCCAGCACACTTTTACCACTGCCAATGAATGATTGTTGCCATCCTTATGGGAAATACTGCACTGCTTCACCTGAAATGCAGATCTTTGAAGGAAAACGTGGTCTCGATGATACCAGTGGTCTTCACTCTTGATCGCAGCACATCCTGCTCAGTGGGCACGTAGCCTGGTTGGACCAGGCGCTCCAAGTCATTCAGGTAGCTGAGGGAAAACAACATTGATAGCAAACTCCAATGTGGTGGTCGAGCAATATTAATTATTCAATGGTCGATAAGGATATCTAGAGAGCAGGGCGGCTGATGACCAACATAAAGCCGAATGTTAAAGTTATGTTGTCAGATTTTTTGCTTTTTTATTTAATCTGAATAATACAACAATCTAAGTTTTGTGATTTCTTACTATCCAGCGGAGTCGTTAAGCTGATACTCTGAGGCTCGTTCGAAGCACACTTGTATGCCAGAGTCGTTCCATAGGCGAATAATAATGTCCGCTAACTCTTTGGGCATGGAGCCTTCCTCAATGGTGTCTGCAAGATGCATGAGTTTCCTGGCATCATCCTGCAGGACGGATGCAAGGGGACAGGGACAAACACAGTGTATGTTAAGCAGTCTGCTGCCAACATAAACCCAATGTATGCAAACATCTATCTTAGCTGTTACCTGCTGATCAGAGTGGCCATAGCTAATATTGAATGTGCCCATGGCCTTCACAATGGCCATCATAGACTGCAGGGTGTTGCTGTAGATGATGACAATGAACTCCATGCATTCTTCAAGTGAGTAGCCGTCTTTGTGGATAATTCTGAAGAGAAAATACAGAGTGATTTACAGTCTCATAGAGAAAAAAACGAGACATTGCTTTAGTGCAAAAGTCAAATGTTTTACTTCATCTGTTTGACGATAGTGCTTTTGCCTGATTCTCCAGCACCTAGATGAAAGTAGAAAATACATAACACTTAGTTATTCCGATGAAATAAAAAAAAAATGCATTTATTGGAAACTTTATTCGAATGTTTGAGGATTTGGTAGACATATGACTTCTTAATCATGATTGTGGGTTGCATTCATGTAAGAGGAGGCACTACATGCCAGACTTTAGCACTATAGTCTTGACATTGATACATGTATTGGTCCTTAAATAAAAATGTCTTGTTCGATTATATGATGTATGAGGGTCATTGTACTTAGTTGGGCGGTATTGTATCAGTGTCCTTCAGAGTTAATCTCTTTGTGTTGGAGACCTGTTGTTTCAGGATTAACAGGGGATTGGATTGAATGATTAATAAAGTGTCTAAGCAATCCAATGACACAGGTTAATAAGCCTTTACTTTACTCAAACATGCTGCTTGTTTTCACCACAATCACCATGCACTTTAGTAAGTATGTAAAGGTAATCCAGATTAAAAGGATCTATTCATAGCACACTTCAGTCAACAAGATCTTTCTGTGTTGATAACTTGACCGTATGAGAGATCAAACGAAACATTTTACAATGGATGAAGTAATGCACCACCTACAATTAAATCCCATAAATAGATATGTTTACTATTTCTCTAGGTATAAATAGCCTCACCATGGGGCCTTTATTGGTCCCGTACATGTGTTGAACCCTAATGATTAGGGTTCCTGTTATTGAATCCATCTCGATCATCTTTACCTAGCAGTAGCAGCTTGACAGTTCTCGCATCCATGTCGGCATCCTCCTTCAGCTTCTTCTCCAGCTCCCTGGAGTGTTTATCCTCGGCGCTCGCTCCAGCCCCCATCCTGCTTTTTCCCTGCTTGGGCCCCTCTGCTCAAAGCCAAGTGTCAGGAAAAAATGGAAGTTGGTCCAAGATGATTGCCTAATATCTCAACAGTTTTGTCAACTGCCGTCAGCACTGGAGAACACTGGAGACTGTTTGAGTGTTCTCGTCTTAGGAGAGGATTTCGGGCATCCTCTGCCCACCTGACCCCCAATGGCCAATGGAGCACAAGGACAGGAGTCTTTTAGGCAATCCAAAGGTGTGAGGAGAAGCAGACATACATCAGTGTAGGAGTGATCTAACCTTTAGGGTGACATTGCTGTGTCAGCGGAAGATGAACATCGGCTCAAGTGCTTATCTCTCTATGCAGTTCTTAGGCGCCTTTAAAAGAGAAGCATGTGAAGTAAAATAATTTGTTGTGTTGAGTGTGCTTAGCTATGGAAACTCAGCTTTCCAAACTAATTAATCACATCACGACCAAAAATAAGAATGTGTCACTTAGTGTGGTCCTCAGCGTATACCGTTTTCAAAGCGGTTGAATAGAGGAATTACAACAAAACTAACTGCCATATGCTACACACACTATAACACACAGCAAGTTTGGGCCCCTGAAAAAAAAGAAAAAGACCTCTCAACTCTCAGTCGAAACAAAAAGAAAGACATGACATTTATTTTAGGGTACTACAGACTGCTGGGTTAGCCCTGCATAGCTTACAGAGCTTTGCAGTTTCATCTGACAGATTTCATTGACCTAAATCTGAAGCTGGTTAAGGATACTAATCTACTCACTTTCAATTATGTATTCATGCATGTGCAGTATGTGAGCTTTCAGTGTATTCCAACTTTCCTATTTGTTAAAAAATACATTTTGTTTAAGAAGTGCATTAAGTTAATCATTATATATTTAACTTTTATTGTTGACTATTTTGTGGAGTCAACATTGCTCAAGATCCTGAGTCACTTCTGTGAATGAAAACCCTGCTGCAGCTCAGCCGTGAAGCAACGCAACTACATTAAGTCAAATACTGCAAGCATTTCAAGTACTTGTTCTTCTTTCGAATATTTACTTTTCATGTAACTTCATCATACTATGCTCCATTCCAAAGGTTACTACTGTACGTGTTGCTCCAGTTTTACTCCATTAATTTAAATGAACAAATACATAATAATAATAATATTGATAATACGTGAAATAGTATAAACATCAAATAATACATTTTCTGCATTGTATACTTTTATGTTTTAATTAAGAACATTTTGCTGAGAATACTTGCATACTTTTATTTACAGTAAGCGACATTTCTAACTAAGGGAGGACCTTTACTTGAAATGAATTATTTTACACTGTGGTACTGCTACTTTTTACTTATTTAAAGGATCTGTATACTTTCACCACTGCAAATCAGTAAAACAACGATCAATCAATGTCTTTACATATCACACAAAAGGGCCTGCAGACTATATATCAAACAGAACCTCTGTTATTATAAAATATAGAGCTTTAATTTATTAGTCAGCAACATTGATGAGGAAGAAAAGATAGCACTTTTTTTTAAAAAGTCATTAAAATAACATCAACTGTGCATTATATCATACATTACTCTACCTCAATGAGCCAGAGCAAAGTCTGCCAAACAGAGAAAATAAAATGAATGCACATGTTTGAAATATGCACATTTCTGAGAAGAGAGAGCGAGCGAAAAAGGAGACTAAGAGACGTACAGAGAGAGAAAGAGAGAAAGAGAGAATTTAAAATCATTATCTTTCAGCATCTTCTGATAGTGTTTCCATATTCCCACAACGAGAAAGACATTCACTGACATCCACAGCAACGTAGCATTTTAGACAAATACCATATACATTACACTGTACATGCCATGCACAATGAAAAGCCACCTTCTGAAGATTTTGTTACGCGTTTCTCTTCAGGTTATGTGGTGAACAGCTTGGAGTTGTTCTTGTGACACTTTTTTATAATTTCATTGTATGGAAGTTTTATCTTAGGTCTGTGGCACATATGAAAGCAGGATGGCACTGCATGACTGATAAAAAAGGAGCGCTGTGTTGTTAACCAGTTAAAATGAAAATACAGAAGCAATAAAATGCTCATTTCAGAGCTCTGCATTCTGCATTGTTGTTGTTGTAATCAAATATAAAGTATAGACTGATTACATGATTAATATTCACTTTGTGAAATCCTTATCTAGAATGAAACTGGCAGGAATGCAAACTTTAGATTCATTAGGAGCTAAAGAAAAACAACCTTTGAGCATACAAATGACATGCTCTTTCTTATATGAATATACTGCATATGCCACAGATACAAGTGAAATATGTACCGTTTGTTTGGCAACAGAAGGTGCTTTGTCTCTAAAAATGTTTTTATCACAAACTGTCACAAAGTCACATAGCTGCCTGCTGGAATTTCTTTTCTCAGATGAGAATAGAAAAGGCAATATTATATTTTTAGTCGTTAAAGGACCCTTTTCCTCCAAAAAACAGCTTATCACAAAGATCACGTTTGTTAAGGATACAACATTGAGATGTGATATTCACATACAAACAAAACAAACACTTGGCAGCAACTGATTTTCTGAAGAATTTGGGTGGATGATGTAACTCCATAACCTGAGGCCAGGCTGGACCACAGACAGGAACGGAGAGACGTCTTACTTTATGTGTGCGACATGTTATCACAGCTGCATTCTCACTGTCGTCATTTCTTTTTATCATTGCCTGTCCCAAGAAATGCCATTATCAGTATGTCCACAGCTTGTTTTTGCAGTAAAGAAAACTGTCTGGTATACAGTCGATGGTTCTGGTGAAGAAGTTTAGGGAAGTTTGATTTCACTGAACCAGCGCCTCGACTTCCAGCTGAGACACTGAATACTGCCAGCAGTCAAGTGATCCAACATGGTCACCTGTAACAGTTTCTGGTTCATCGGTCCTTGTCCATGTGTGGATCCTCCCAAAGTCCTGGGTTATTGTTGCTGTTTCTCAAAAACACCAAACATAAAGATATTCTCAACATAATAACACATCGTAATAAACAATAACACTAACAATAATATTATAATAACAACAATATTTGCACAAATGTACCTATTCACAAAAAAAACTAGATAGGTACAAAGAATTACTTTTTACAACCTACAATAAATAATGTATTTTTGTTCCAACAGTTACATAGAAACAGTTTGATGCTGTTGCTTCTGGTTGCAGTTTCTGTCTTGTCCGTTATAATCAGCTTTCTAACTGGAGTCAATCCCCTGAATGGAGGGATGAAGTGTTTCAGGAGTGAGCAGGTAGACTGTAGGACGATGAGTTGTGTATCTAGCTCCTCATGTCTCAGATGGAGTTGTTAGCTCATCATGATGCCGACGGTTGCGAGGCTTCTTCTGCTCTTTCAGCTCCTTCAGGTTTTTGGCTTTGTTGTCCCCGAGGCTGACGTCTCCGAGCTGCCAGTAATCCTGGCAGTACTGGTTGATCAGGCCCATCTCCGGCTGGCTCAGGATGGTCAGCAGGTCCTTATACTGACCGGCACTCGGAGTCCAGGCGCTGGACTGCAGGGGGGGGAGGGCCGGGCTGCCCGTATCCACCAACACGTTGTTGACCGTGCGACTGGAGAGGACCACAAGCTGCAGTTTGACGAGCGTGTGTTTGAAGTTCTTCTCTGTGGACGTGCACTGGTAGATGCCGCTGTCAGAGGACTGCAGAGAGCGGATCAGGAGACCTTCCTCCGTTTTTAGGATGTGACCATCTGAGCGGATCTGTAAAATCATTTTAAAGATGTTAAATGTGATGTTTAAGTACTGTATTCACTTACTTGAAACAAAACTATAACTGCTTTAAATGGTGTACAAATACTGTGATATAATATTGGATTACAATTATAGGTTAAATAAATGAGTTCATCACACAAATGTTGCAGCTAGTAAAGGATAAGCTTATTTTTTTAAACAATGTGTTACCAATGGATCAATCAAGTTTAACTAAGACTATAACAATACTTAATACATTATTTGTTGATTATATATTGTATTATTAAACTGGATCTTAGTCTTCAGAGTAATATAATCAACATGTTGAATGCAGTGAATTAAAAAGAGCAATATATGCCTCTTACTTATTATGGTAAAAAAGTACTAAGTAGCCGGAATTGGAAAATACTCGGGGAAAGAAGTTCAAAATTATACTCAGTATAGTTCTCGACTAAATGTACTTAATGACTTTCCACCCCTGACTGCCTCACAGTGAGAGCCTTGCTCACCTCTTTCCTCCTGTCGCTGTTTTCCTTCTGCAGATGCCACTTGAGAGAGACATGAGGAGACCGGGCCTGGCACTCCAGGAACGTCGTGCTGCCCTCCACCCCATACTGCATAGACTCCAGGGTATTCTTATTGGCTAAAAAAAACAATATGTAGAATATATCTTACGACTTATTCCTAAAAATATGTATGGATTATACAGATTGATAGATTAAGCAGAATCAATGAGGTAAGTGATATATAAATGAGAATAGGCAACCACAGGCACTATAATAATTTAAATCACATTCCTATTTCCCTTTTTGTTGCAAGTTAGGTTCCTAATTTGTGTGTGTACTGTATAGGCTTAACACAAAGTTGCTCTGATACTCACTGTTGGAGTTATATCCTCTGCATTGGCGAATCGGATTGCCGTACTTTACATCCTGCCTACGGCTCCGTCTAGAGGGGTCAGATCAACATTCAAAAACAAAAAGCAAAACGTTAACATTTTGAAAATCTTAAGTGCCCAAGTAGGAGAGCAAAGGTAGTGCACACACACAAATGAGTACTGTATTTATCGCATGCATGTGTAAACTATTTTAAACCTAACCTCTTCTGGGAGGATGAGTATCTGGAGCAGGACTTCCCGTCCCAGGCGCAGTAAGGGTCTCTGGCCAGACAGCAGTCAGCGCAGACCTCTCCGTACACGTCACAGCGATGGAGAGCCAGGTGAGAGACCCCCAAGACCGACCCCACATACAGTTGTTGCTATTCATTAAAAAAAGAAAGAACAGAGATAAAGATCAGAAAATAAAAGAATCATATAAACATTACATACCACTTGAATACATTGGCCTGCAATTTCTTTATGATTTTCTACAGAGACTAAAAAGAAGGTATGATATAATTTAGTAATTTAAACAAATAAATTAACAAAGTTTCGAGACAGTCTTTAGTTACTTGTGTTCAAAATGTATAAGCAGTTGTTTTACTGAGAAAATTCATTCCCTTAGATAAATTCTACAATTTTGCACTGATTGTAAACTCTCACATTTCTGATCTACTGCTAAATTATGAACCATCCAGATCTCTCAGGTCTTCAGGGACTGGTCAGCTTTCTGTCCCCAGAGTCAGAACTAAACATGGTAAAGCAGCGTTCAGTTATTATGCTCCAAACATCTGGAACAAACTCCCAGAAACCTGCAGGTCCGCTGCAACTCTTAAATCCAGGCTGAAGACTTTTCTTTTTGCCGCTGCTTTTAATTGAAACTGAGCCGTTGTGTTCATCAGTAAAGTGGAATGTGTGAACTATGCATATCTTAAACTGCACTGTAACTTTTTATTGATGTAATTTTTATTCATGCATTTTGTATTCATGTATTTTTTATTCATGTATTTTTGCTTTTAATGTTTCTTTTATTATCTTTTTTTTTAAAATGTCTTTGTCTGAATGTCTTTCATTTTTGTAAAGCACCTTGAATTGCCTTGTGTTGAAAGGTGCTACATAAATAAACTTGCCTTGCCTATGCTAATTATACGCAACAAATTATTGCAATGGCAAACTGTACATTTACCATTTGAGTCCTTTTTTGTTAAAATAATCACTGATTACATAGTCCTTATAGGTACCTTCCTATGAATGTTGTTTCTGTAACAATAGTCAACTTAATTTGGTAAGGTCAGAGCTATGGCTTATTAAATCATTTATTTTAGCTCATTACATCTAAGTATATGCTATGTGCATAAATTACAAGGTATCTTATTGGTATCGACCATCAGAAGCGGGTTTTTATCAATTATCTGTAACAGCGGAAAAAAATCGATATGGTACCTCCCCACTATTTGGTCTAATTAACTCTAAAGCAACTTACCCTTTTTGATGAAATCTTCATGGTGGTGATTGGCGTGGGAACCTGCAGGGACACAGTTATCAACAGCTTTAAACGAGCAGACAAGGAATATTCAGTGAGATACTTTAGCCTCGGAAAACCAACACAATGTACAAAACAATGTACAGACAGAGAGAGAAAGAGTTCATAGACTGATGTTAGGAGACTGACCTTAAAGACTTCCACTTCCTCTAAGACCAGCTCCTCTGTCTGCAAGTCGTCTCTGGGCAGGACAATCACTTTCTGGACTGTCCCCCGATCTGTTAAACACAAAAGAAAAGCAAGTTAAACTTAAGACCTGTGGACAGGTAATACTCAATAATAACCATCAATAATGAATGGTAAATTAAAAGGTAATTATTATGAATTATCTACAGATATTACACATATTTACAAATCGTTTATAATGCTATATTTCTAATTTATTTGATAGTTTTTTGTTAATATTTACCTCTTTTTTTAATTGAAGCTTTTAAGAAATCTTTTGTGAAACATCAATAACCATTACATGAATAATAGAACAAAAGACCAATATTAAAGGGACAGTTTAAATGATTTATCAATCTATTTATTAACCATTAAATATAGTATTATAATCATAATTTCAAACTTTTAATTTACCATTGATTATTGGTATTATAGGGTGCTGCCCTGTTCTTACATGTGGAGTGGACAGAGACATGGCCAGAGGACTTGAACAATAAACTTGAAACCTAGAATTAAACGGACAACCATCCCATAATGTAATGAAAGGGCTCTGAGCACTGACCTGTCCCCAGGAAGAGCACCTCGTAGTTCCCGTCAGCAGCCGCCACCTGGTCCACTGCAATTGTGGTGAACTCATAGTCCACATTGGTTCTGACCACCAGGGGGCGCTTGTGCACCGGGTATATGGCATTGTTCATGGTGGGGTGGTTTCTCATGAAGTTGATAACCTCATCTGGGTAATCCTTTGTGGATTTCATGTTGGGGGTGAAAGTGCCTCCAGGACACTGTCGACAAAAAAAAAGAGATCCAAATGTGAAATCTGCAATTTACCAAATTCTTTCTGCAGTAAAAACATGTTCTTTTAAAAAAGGATGATAGACGACTTTGTTTGTGATAGGAGAAGGCGTGTGTTGTTTATTGTTTATAACTCACAGTGCCAGGTCGTGGGTACGGGATCTTCCCAGTGTACGCCACCCACTGGTAGTTGGGCCCCTCCTTGTGGGCAAAAGGCCCGTTGAAGACCATCCGGATGTCAGCCATGGAGTAGACGCACACCGCTGAGCCTTTAAACACAGCTCTGTAGGAGGGCAGAAGAAAAAAGGTTGAACACACAGAAACAGCAGCTAGAGGATAGATCTCTCCCTGAGATAATTACTACGGGTGATCTCTGCGGCTGGTAGAATCTACTTCCTTCCCACGTACTCATCCGGCCTCTAACGGGAACGCAATGAAACATCCTTACGCACAAACACTCTCTCAAACCGACTCAACTAGAGTCAAGCTGTCTGACACACTGACATACAAACACCCACGTACTGCTGAGAATCGCCAGAGCTCTGGTTCATGCTGCTGTGTGGTGGGTGTACTATGTTTGTATCTCCTGTCATGGTCCTCTATCATTAGCGCCACGTGTGTTTTTATCAGCTGGGTTTGAACGTGCCTGATGCCTGAGGGAAAGATGGAAACAATAACGGTATTTGTTTCTCAAATACATTAATCAAGACATGTTTATTATGACTCGGTGCGCACCTCTCCCTGCTTGAGCACAGTCAGAATATAAATGTACATGTCTGGTTGGCTCCCTTGAATTGTAATGCTGGCTGTTGAATGACAACGTGCTATCAAACCTGACCTATGAAGAACTATAGGCTCAGCCTCTCAGAGGAGCGAGACTCCCTCTGGGCTCCAGATTCTCAGCCTGTTTTGCCTTTGTAGCTGAATCTGACAGGTCATACGCAACACAGCATCTCAATATCAGAGAGACAGAGCTGACATCTTCAGTCCGTCTAAAAAGGAACAAAACCTGCAGAAGATACAAAAATACACCTTTCCTCTAGACTGCATGAAAGTTAGAGAGTTTGAGAAGGCTGTCAGTGACTCACCCTGACACTGAGAAGACTCCATAGATGACAGGATTCTTGTTGTCTTGTGTTGGCTGGATATACACATCCCCTAAAAGATAATGACAAAAATGATAGCAATTAGTCACAGTCATAAACCACAAAAGCAGAGGAGCTTACCAAGCCCAGAAACTGCTGAATAAGACAGCGAGGATTATAGAGACGGTGCTAAAACGGATAGATAGAGGATGAAGGCAGGTATATTCAGACCGACAGTGTGTGTTTTCTTTAACATTAAAAGTATGTATAAATGATCTAGTAGAAACCCAAAACATGACCTCTAAATAAGCATTGAATGCCTCCTTAAAGTAAAAGATGCACATTTGAAAAAACCCTAGTTGTATAGGTTTAATATACTTAAAGTAAACAAAAAGAAAAGAAATATGAACACATATCTCAAAATTGTATTGAGGTAATGGATTAAATAATATAGGTTACTTTCTGGGAAGTAAATATTAGTGTCTGTGTCTTGTATCAAATCAGCCCACAGACGTATTAGTTCCCAGATTCCACCTGGTTCAAACCAAAAATAATTGTAATTGTTGCATTTGGAGACTTTTTGCTTCCTACGAGGGGGAGTTAAAGGAGGATTCCTCATGAATTGCGGTTACCAGAGCCTCAATGAGATCCCAAATCCAAACCCTGTCAATTCTGAAACTTTGGTTCCTAAATCTCAGCAGGGAATATAAGTGAAATAGAGATCTCTGGTGAAACATGACTTTAATAGGAGCCATATGCATCCAATGACTGTGGGGGTGAGGCAGTTGTGAACCCTGCATATCCTTGATGGCTTAATGAGGGAAAAGTGCAAGGAATAACAATAAGGAAGAAAACTTGAATAAATGAGACAGTCTGGGTAGAATAACATTTTGCCCACTGTCGCTTCAATACTGAGCATTAATGGAAAACCAATGAAAATAGTTTAAAAAGGCCTTGAAAAGACAAGTACAACAATAACCTAAAGTCAAACGTCTTTAGAAAAACACCAATTATAATAAAGACACATGAAATCCTATCTGCTCTTTCTATAACTTGAGATCTTTTATTGTTATCCCTTAGAAGCAAGTCATTATTCCATCCAACCACATTCAAATTGGAGAGCTGTCAACTCAAATTGTTCTCCTAAATATTCCCTAAATTAGGACTTCATCATATTTGAAAAAACTGACTTTTCCCCAGGATATGATTAAATATGCGTTTTTGATCAACATCATCCTTTCTGCAGCCAAAATATAGCAATACAGTTTATATAGTGATTATTTCAGCAACTAACTTTTCCTATTTGCATTTGTTTCAGTTCCATGCTCATGTTCCATATTTTTTTCTTGAATTTCAGTAAATTATATTATTAGAGAGACTTCTATTGTAGATTAGTTATGGAAAACTATTTCCTTTTAAATCATCAGCATGAAACAGAACGCCACAACTACATATGTGAAAAAAACGAGGGTCAAAAGTAACAACACGTGATTTGATCTTTAGGCCCTTGGCGTCATCTGCACAAAATAAACAGGAGCGAGCTTAAACTGACACGGCTTGTTTGAAACATGATTTCTGACTGCTAAGCTGACATAATCAAAAAAACGCTCCTTTGATCGCAAGTTTGAAATTGTTTCAGAAAGAAACGTCCTTACATGCCAAGGTCTTAACACGGCAGGTAATGGCTGCACACTAAAGCAAAAATTAACTTTTGGCAGACAAAGTTGAAATTCATAACCCATCTGACGCCAGCCTGACAGATACTGGCTGCAGAACGAGCGCAGTGAAAGAAAAGATAAATAAATCAGCAGAGAAGTAGAACAAGTTGCGTCACTGCAACTTTTGTTTCTGATGCGTCAAATCAGAAAGTCTTTGAGGCACTCTCTGTGTCACATTAGAAGAAAAACATCTCTGTTTGCTGTGAGCATAGAAACAAACACAACGAGAGGAAACAAACACAACGAGAGGGGATAAATGTGTTTTTTATTAAAATAGAAACAAGAGTGTGAGTGATGCACTCAGTGAATAGTCACAGGATGGAAAAGGGACTGTCAGATGACCTGAGAGAGTATGTTATTTATGCTGTTGAAAATGATGTTGAAATGTCCACTTAGAATAAGTACAGAGAAAATGGAAAAATAAACTGAAATGTTATATACAGTAAAGAGGTTTGGGGATTTGGGGACTACAGTAGCATAACAAATAACTCAATGAAAAAACAATGTTTCATAATTACATCTCAGAAAAGGCAATAAAACGTTATCGCCCACACATTCATTTTCATTTTAGTCTGGCAGACGTTTTCATCTCCCCTGTGTCTGTGAGTCTTCCCCTCAGTCTTTATATTCCTCCTCTCCCTCGGTGCCCTGCTGAATGCTTTCTCTTCTGTTAGCCCATGCCTCACCGTCTAAATCTACTCTACTCTGTCCCTCGAGTCTCTGTACAACCACTCTGATGCCTCTGCTGGACTCCATCAGGACCAGCAGGACTGGAGACAGAATACATTCCTACCAGACGGTCTGTGGTTGTGGGAAGACGGACTGACCACAGGCTTTTGGGATGTTTTACTGCACCTCAGCACTCACAATGACCTCACCACGAGTTCTCGTATAAACTGAGACTACAACTGACCTTCTGTCCTGTAGAGAGACGACTCAAAGTACAGCTGTCAGAAGAGGGCTCTTCTGTCACTGGCAGAGTGCTCTTAATGCATAACATACATTTGCAACTAGAAAAGCCTCATCAGGAATAAGAGATGCTACTTTACATTTAGCTCACAGCTGTGCATGATGCACACTTACTGGCTGAATTATTCAATGCTGTCACAATACGAGGGCAAATTCTGAATAAAATAAATGATGACAGAGAGATAATGCCGCTGACCACATGGTGTGTTCAAGTGCAACTTCTAACACCTTGTACTGTAGGTCAAACACTGCAAATTATTATGTAATCTTAGGATAATTCACAATATTAAAATCTATAAACGTTGATTAAGATGCATTTGAACTTTTTGTCTATAATGTGGAAAACTGTTGAACAGCGTGAGTTTCAATCATAATCTTATAATAATCAACTGGACTATTATATACTATCTATAAAATCAAGCAGCTTTTGCAAAGGACTAGGATTAAGGAGAAGAGAATAATTGATCTGCAATTGACAATGTATTAAATAATTTAACTACACTTGGACCAAAGCCTAAAGCTCTTTCCTGTGGGATGCAATCCGAATAGTGAGTAGAATAGATGGGAGGACATGTTTACATTTTTTCTAAAGCTTTCTTTTTGGTACATGCCTTACTTAGTTGAATCTGTTGTTTACCTATCATTTTACTGGCTGTGTCAACCACTCTTGACAGTTTCCCTTTACATTTGACAAGAAAGTGTCGGCATCACATCACCATGTTAAAAGGCTAGAAAAAAATCATTAAGCTTTCTGAGTAGGGGTAACCTCTGTATATCTTTTTAAAATAATATAGTCATGTCATCTGTTAAATTAAGGTGGCTGACTAAATTAGTACCTACGTATTCTTTTGGCTTGCTACAGTGCCACACAATTCCACAACATGCATTAAACATTAGATTTTGTACAAACATGTTTCATTTGAAACTTGATTTAGCATTATCCATTTGAGTTGAATCCATTTTGTTTGCTGTACTTAGATAAAGTTAAATTGTAAATATGAGCTAGCAGTTGAATTCATCATTGAATTGTATGTGTTTTATTCCCAGCAAGAGCACATTTTCCAATAGCAAAAACCATTTGAGAGTAGTGAAAGATGTTGCTGCTCATACCAGCAGTCATTATGATTTGAAGGATACTACAAATCCCTCGTTAATCCTGTCAGTCATGTGAATGACCGACAGGCCGGGATGATCCACGGGGAGTCGGCCTGGTCCCAGCTGCTCATTACTTTGATTACTCTGCATGCGTGTGTATACTTGCATTTCAATCTCTTGTTTTTTTATTTCTTTAAGTACACATTATCTGCAAACGATGTTAGAGGTGCTCAAAAGCAGAACGATCACTGTGTTACCTTTGAGGATGTTACCTACATGAGCTATGTTGATGTTCAAAGGAATAGGCATGTCAAGCTTAACATGTAGGAGTCAGTGATACTTTAATCTAAAGCTGCAGCTTCCCGTGGATTTTTCCCAGCACTTCTGTATATAAGCAGACACATGGTGCTGTAAACGCTGGTTTGCTGGGTGTGAGTCTTCCAGTACAGTGAGCTGGTGTCTCACACACTGCAGCAAAATCTGAGGAGACGCTAATTCCGAATGCCTTAAAACTGTAACATCATTGTGAAAGTATGCAAAACAAATGGAGGGCAAAATGTAGGAGACCTCTACAAATGAGAAAGTTGTGGATACTGAATCTCTCAACCACATGTCCATCTGGAGACCCTTGTTTTGACTTGTAGTTACACGGTCACGTAAGAATTCTCACTTTCCATCTGCCACGTATTCATTACCACACCAACTCTAAGCAGATGCATTCAATGTTCCCTGATGTGTGGAATATGATATATGATATGATATTTTGGATTTGTAGTTAACTATTAGATCACAAACATTGATGCTGTGACCAACAGGTGGTGGACAAAGGACACACCTAATGAGGGGACAGGGTTTAAAACGGTCTACAGATAAAAAGAGCAAGTGCTGTGATAGCGATAGAGGGAGAATCTAAATCAAGGAAATATTTAAACTCACTTAGTTCATCAAAGTGGGTCTCGATGCCGTCAGCTCCAGGCACAGAGCAGATGAGGCGGGCTTTCAGGAACGTGCTCCACTTGTTGACCAGACAGCAGTGTCCACCGTCATCGTTCTGCGGGGAAAAGACAGAAGTCATCCAGACACCTCTATGGAAAGAGTCTGACCAACGTCTGACTAACAGCTGTTTGAAACAGCCGTCCAAACTAACTGCCTGTTGTTATTGGACCTGTGTGAATAAATGATCAGCTCTGAGTTTCAGCTTGGCCCATCTGCACAGCAGGTCAGCCAACTTCTACTGCTGAGGTAGAGATTCAAAGCCTGGGGAATGATTTGTGAGCTGTGAACACAATTTACAGAGACGAGATGATTTGTAGAGCTGGAAGACAAGCATTTGATGTCTTTTTTTAAATCTACTGTAACATCAATGGGGAAAGAATCCTGCTTTCCAATTTACTTTTTCACATTGTTATTGGGGTGGAAATGTCTACCAGTCAGTCAACTTTGTTCGATCTTAAATATTTTACCAACCATTGCCATGAAACTTTGTAAACAGAGTGGCCAAAGTAGGAATGAATGAAATAAGAAAAAACACCCCTTTTGACTTTAATGAGGATGTCATTTTTGTTTTTTATTGATATTCCTTAACAAGTGTGATGCACTGTGGTCCTCAGAGGATGAATTTAATTGCCTTGATTTGTCATATAATGCCATAATCAGGTAAATTACTGCCAATTCCCTTTTGGAATTATTCGTCCATCTCCAGGGAAAATCAACTATTTGAGTCACAGCACTTCATCACTGAAGACACACGGCTCTGGCTTTGTATTGAAGCATTTGCATGTAAACAGATGTGGACAAAAGTAAACTCTGCTGCTCAAACATTTCGTGCAGAGGAATACAAATAACCACACTTTCCAAACTTAGCAGTATAAGCAAACAAAGATTGTGTTTTTCTGTAATTGGTGCTTTTTTCTTTTGGATCTGCAATTACTGCTGCTCATGGGGAACCTTCTTTATGGGCCTCTAAGAGACTGATGTAGGCAACAGACTATACCTAACCACTCTGGAGAAATATAAACCTTTCAGTTGAGCTGATCAACACGAGTTTTGCTGACTGCTGTGATAACTCACCAGACAGATACGCCCTATCCTGGACTGGGTCATGGGACTCTGGCCCATCTCAGAGGCTTTCTCTCGGAAGAAGAAGTAGAGCTTGTCATCATTCTTCTCAGCGCTGTCTGGGATGAGGTGTGTGTGAATGAATGTGGGATCTGTAGAAAAGAAAGATGAAAAAAACAGACCAGCTATAATATTAGGATCCCCAGCTGAGGCTTTGCCATGAATACAATATAAAAAGTACATCGACGTTACATATCAACTGGATTATGCACTAAACCTTTTTTCTCATAGCTCCTATCATTCCCTCTGCCCGTACCTGTTGTAAACTATAGTGGAAAACATACCTTGTTTAATGCAGAAAAGCTAATATGAAGCTTCATCATTCTCTGAGTCTTACATATCAAATGTATCTCCTCCAAAGCCAAAGTTGTATGTTTATAATTTATATTCCTTCTTGGTTTCCCTTGGACATAATTTATTTTTTGAGCTGCAGTAACATACAAATAAAAAGGGATTTAACATTTGAAAGATACCTGCTGCATTATTTTTTCATGTACAGAATTAGGTCTGTGAACTTGCAACAGTTTCAATAACAATTGATTAAAGACAGAAATTAAGAAACATGAACCTTTATTATCCCTGAAAGTAGTAAACCTTGAGACAAATACCTTGATAAATTACCTAGTTATACTAATATTAACATGGGCACAATAGAGGTCTTAAGTACTGTTTCGGAGAACATTTTTGTTGCTCGGGGAACAAAACCCTCACAAACTTGATGACAGTGAACATGTCACAGTATGCACAACCAAATTGTGCTCACAGAGAAATCGGATGAGGCAGAGTCTATTGAGAATGAATACTGCTGTAACCTAAATAATAGTAGCCCGGAGCCCAGAATAGTACTTTGACTGTCCTCAACCCATCCCCCTTTATTTCTTCCTAGTGACAATGCTTAATATGGCATCACAGTGCGTTCCCACTGGCTGACTTACTGGGTCACTGATGGGTGCCCCTCCCCATTGTGACTGACCAGGGGCCCAAATGAGGACAAACCAAAACCAGGAGGAGGGGGATAACCAGGAACCATGGAATCGGGGAGGGGAAATATCCGAGGGATTCCACATGGCTGATTAGCGGGACTCAGGTGTCCCGATTCAGTGTGCCACTACCAGGGGACTGTTGTCAGGGCAACAGGGTCAGAGGAAAATCTGGGAGCCAACGAAACCAGGGGGAGGCCGTGATTGATTTGGAAACATCAACGAAACTCCCGACCAGCATTTATAGAGCTATGACAATCACGGTTCATTAGAGAGCCGAGGCCACTCTGACTCATTATTGACATTCGGTAATTCCCCCCCCGACTACTGAACCTGCGGCATGCGGTCAACGATTAGCGTAGTGCATTTTATGCTCTGAGTCAGATGATCATGTGGTCATGTGGCGCAAGACGACAAGATCAACAATCTTATTCCTAGACAACATAGCTCTAGGAACAGACGACATACACGGCGGTACATATGGGAGGTCGCCTGAAACATTACGGCTACATTTTTTCAGGAGCTGAGGAATAAATTATAAACAGTCTGGAAAAAGATGACTGAAATAAATTATGCTGGCTGTACAACAAGCCGTGATTTGAGACATTACCGTTTAACCATCTGGAGTTGTACTGATCCGTCCTCATGATTGTCTGTTTCCCCATCGTACGGAAGATAGAAGAGTCTGTTCCCATGAAATCAATGTAGACACCTGCATACAGCTCTCCATCTGTCAATCACAGAGGAGGAAGAAAAGGAGCTGAAGTCATGACAGGTGAAAGTATAGAACACATTATCACCAAGTCTGATTAAAACTAAAAAATGACATCCTTTCAGGTTTCACCAAAATCCAAATAATGTATGTACTGTATACTGTAGCAACTGTGGCTTCTCACAATGAGATGTTTTTACTATACATATTTCTTCTTTAAAAAACACAGCAGTGCCAAAATACATAATGGGTTTAAAATGAATTTAATCAAACCCTGTCCAGAAGTGTGAGAAATGTCACGTCTGGGTTAAAAATGTTGACCTCACAATTATATGGCAATCATACTTATATCAGACTCATTAGCCCAATCAGTGTAATTACAATGGACAGCTGGATTCACACATTTCAACATGTCTGACATCTGATGCGTCGGAACAAGGTCATTTTCTGTGCATGAGAAAAGGGGAAAGAGTCTCTACTGGTAGTTTACTGTGGTAAGAAAAGTAGTCAGCCTAACGCCTGAACCACGGGAAATACAGCTTCCCTCGTTCTCCTCAGTGTGGTATTTCTCGGCCCTGCCAGCGGTGTAAGACATCCTGTAGCTAATTTTACTGGTGTTGCAGTTTTTCTGAGGTCAGGTAGAAATGAGCTGACAAAGTGAAGTAAAAGAGAGGGTCTTTCTGTCTCCCTCTCAATCACACACATACACACACTTGCAGATGTGCAGGGCAGTACAGTAGGTCACTGATCAACAGGCATTTCTGACCACCTGTTAGCTGCTAGTGACAAATGACCACCCACCTGGGAGAGATTCATTTGAAAATAATGAAGGCTTGAGTCAATGGTTTTAATGATTGCATGTTATTTCTTCATTTTAATTGACACGTCTTATGCACACTCAAACCAATGAATGAATATATTGATGAAAATATAGCTGTATCAAAGCTGAAATGATTAGCCCAAAATGCCTCAAATTATTGAGTTGCCACTTCCTAATTGTAAGGATTTGCTATTTCCTCTGTTTAGTATTTTGTTAAGTCGGTGTGAGTTTTGGACTATTGGTCCATCAAAGTGTTTTTATAACATCATTAATTTTCATTTCATATACAAAACAATTTACTTATTTATAATGCACAATAAGATCATTTCAAATCTTCACTCAAAATCATAAAGGCTTAATACCAAAGGGGAAGCTACCGTACCAAACCAACTGAGTTAATACTCACAAAATAACATATAAATCAAATAATGTAAAGTTTTACAGAATTCCTGTTGTTATAAACAATCTCTTTAAGGCATGCACAGACATAAACCAAAGTCATATTGCAGAACTTCTTTGTTTTCCGCAGCTATTTAAAGCTGCATGTACTCGCGGGGGAAGGGGAAAATAAACAAGCAGGGACTTACTGATCAAAGCAGAGACGCTGTTCAGTTTGGGGTCATAAGGACATTTTCCTTTTCCAGAATCCACTTTACCAGGTTCAAGTCGGAAAATGTATTCCTATAAAAAGGTAAAAAAAGTGGAAAAAACACAATTAATAATTTACATGTTATCTTTACTCAATTGCTAACAGATTTATCTTGTTCAAAGAATCATTTTTTTGTTGTGTGGGAAGGTTGTTCTTTGAATGCAGCATGAACAAGGCACTTTGAAGACTAGTACTTAGATGTCAGAGGCAGTTTTAAATGGCATTAAAACATTAATGTGATCAGTTAAGAGACACATCAACAATGACGAGGTGAGAGCTGTGACCCTACAGGCACTGAAAAACAGACTCTCTCACAGCACTATTGGATCTGCTGAGGGGAACAAAAAGCATACAAAGCCAGTTATCTGTGAGATGGAGAGGTGGAGGAAAATGCTGAGAGCAATCCAAAACTCATCCACCATGCTTCTGATGTTAGTGGCTCAGACAAGAATTCATTATTCCACAGTGCAAGAGGACAACTTGAACATCTGTGTCAACACTGGGAGTGTGTCTACATGGAGTTTTGTCGGGGGGGTTCAAAGCTTGCTGAGGATGTCTGACAGGTATACATTTGAAAGGGAAAGCAACACAATTCCAAAGTTGTGTTTTACCCTTTACAAAATATGTTCTTCAGCAACAGCAGAACTCATAAATTGTTTGTGTGGATAAAAAAAACCTTTGGAAAACCAATAAATGAACCTTCATGGTGATAATAACTGATTCAGTCGACCTCTTGACTCAATTACCTACAGTACTGCAATGTAGCCTACAACTGTGCTTCAATCCTTATTTTCCTAAAATACTAATGCATAAACAAGTCATGTTGCCCTTAAAGGCTCTGCTGGCTTTAGAATAGCATATTTAGAAAAGCATTTGTTTCATCAATCTGTTTTTGTTCCTCCAAGATCTGTAAAAAGTGTTTCTTTTTGGATACCATTGCTATCCATATAGCTCTAACTGAGACTGAAAAAGTACTCTAGGTGGGCACCAAACTTAAGAGTAGCTACAAAACTCCCCCCAGCCCACCTTCGCCTCCAAAGGCTCTGATGTATCGCTGTAGTCTGCTGCCCGATTTGTTCTCCCTCCAGAGTTGGCTGCCTGTAGGAAGTGGGATCCCTAAAACAAAGACATGGCACAGTGGGCCATCTCAATTATTACCACGTTTGACAGCGCAGAATTAAGATAATTTTACTTTGGCGACATAAACAAAAGAGGAAAATAGGAAAGTGCAAAAAAAAAAATCTTCAAAACATGTAGACTCAACGAAGACGAACAATTCAACCAAAAATAATGGGAAGCAAAATGTAAAACTGGAGCTCAAAGTAGACTTGGTGGGTGACATTCATTATTTAGTAACCATGTTGGATTAGAGTCAGTGTCGAGCAAACACAGCTGCAAACTCCATGCATAAACCATGCAGTGCCAAGAATGAAGACTGAAAAGGAAATGCAACACAATAAGACAAGCAACAATTAAAAAAACAAAAACACATTTCATCTAGCTGTACAGTGAGGGACTGAGAAATGTAAAATAAATTCAGGAAAATATGTCATTTAATCAAAGGAGATTGCTACTGTGCAATGTTTGACTTAATCATTAAATTAAACCCTGATAGGATAGTTTGGATTTGTCACAATATAAGTACAGTTTCCATGTTGACCTCGACAGGTTGAAGCAAACTCTGCAAAGGAGCTTTGAAACAGCATCCACAAAGCAGGAAGAGTGACGTCGTTAAAGGAAAAAGTGAGAGCTAACTGAAGACTGGCCATGTGTGAAGCCCTCCGAGGAATTCGGAACAATTGGTTTCTGTTTACACCTACCCTTGCCGCAGAAAAATCTTTATAGTGTGAAGTAACATAGCTTTTGGGCCTTAGGGGAGAAGCTGAATGACAAGAGGCTGGACTGACCTTTACATTGACATGTGAACCCTTCATTTGAACAGTGAGACTAAACAGGCAGAGAGGTGAATGTAAGTGTGTGGATCGCAGCTGCTGCAGCTCTGTGGCCCATCGCGCTGGAGCGAGGGAGGGGCGGAGGGAGGGGTGGGCTACAAGGCTGATGATGGATGAGACGCTCCATCAGTAATGATGGCCTTTCAGAGGCTCTCAGCCAGATAGAAAGACAGGCCACAGGCTCTGCTTTGTAAAAACAGGTAAGGAGGAGCAGGGGGACTGTGAGGAAGGGTATTTGCTATAGATATAGTGTCAACCTGCTATTCCCAGCGGTAAGAGAAGATTGGTGTCTCAACGACCTTTAAGTGGTAGCAGTTAGGTACCTTACCTACAGCAATTTTGCAATAATAATAGAGATCTAGATAGGACAGGCCATGAGCTTCTTTCTTTGAGTCTTCCAGACTGTGAAACAGCACAAATCGATGAAAAGTAAGAGGGCAGAAAATGATGGAAGAGAAGCAGAGCCCCGTGAAACTGAGGAGCGAGAGCAGGAGGAGATTCTCTGACCAGAGATTGATTGATAGATAGGGTCTTAACAGAAGCAGAGAGTGAAGGTCAAAATGTCTCCACGGTTGCCTGGCTTCGTCTTTGGTTACCTGTGACCTGCGTCCTCGGTCCACGTAGGTGCAGATGGGGTTGTACGCGCCTGTTCCACACACATACAGGTGGGTCCGGTTCCACGGCTCGATCAGACGGATGAAGTTTCCACATTCACCCTGTGGGAGAGCGACAACAAACGGGGTTAAATAATTAGGGTTTAAAAAAATGTGTGTGTAAAATGTGATGGTAGAAAAAGGGTTGCATAATACATAACGTCCCACCAATGGTTAATAAGCCTTCTAGCTGGCTTAAATACATCCCATCTATCATTTCCGCTGTTGGCTGGCTTGTGTTTGGCTCTGTGTGTGTGCCTGGACCAGGCTCCACATCAGACGACACTGTCAGAGGAAAAATGTTTCCAAACACCACATAACAGTATGGCAAAAACCAAGGAAAGCAGTGCATCTCAGCTGGAAAGTGTGTTTGCCATGGGGATTGAGGGTAGAAGCAATTTAGTATTCTGTCAGACTTGAAAACCGAAAAAGATTTTGGTTAGACCAAACAAGACTGTTGAGTGAAAACGGTGTTTTATTTAGTAACAGAGATTCTAAAATCCAATTATGTTTCTTTTCTTTTTTTGTAGAATAGGCATGCCTGTTGTTGTGAATTTGTGCACTGATGTGGTTTATTTCCAACAACACTTTTTCTTTTTGGTGTGCATCTATAGAGGTGCTGCTGGTGAAAACAGCTCTATGGGTCTTTTTTTAATCTCTTTTTGTCCGACCAGCTGTCTGCCTTCCCGTTCTCAATCCACCCAAATCAAAACTACCAACTACAGAAATATACAGGCCGATGAGATCTGCTCAGATTTGTCCGTCACGTTGGCTGCTAGTGACAGCTGGCGAAAAATAAAGGATGTACCAAACGTAAAAAAAAAGGAAAAAGGATTGTATGCAGAATGGGGGATGAGGCATTTTGGCAGATCTTAGCAACACGACAGATGCACAAGTCAGAGGTTTGAGAGGATGTGTTTTTGTGTGTGGTTACGCATCATGTGGGCCTTCCTGTATTATTCAGCGCAGAGTTGTGCTCCCCCACATGAGCACAGTGGGGATGATTGCCTTTGACCTCCTGGCTGAGCGGACATCCCCTCTGAATTGCTTTTGAATTGTCATCATCTGTCACTCCCTAAAGAGGGGCAAGGATATCTCCCGGTAGCCAATTTTATTTCTTACTTTAGTGATGAAATCAAACCCACCTCTGACACACATACAGAGGCTCATACATGCACATACAGGGCCAATACAATGTAGCCAGAGGCGGTGAGAGGCGCGGGTCACCAAACACGCATAAATGAACATTCCAGTTGGATAAACAGCAGCCTGCGCCCCTTACCAGCACGGGGGGGCAGGGTTATTAGCCAGAGCCTCATCACCCTGTTGGTGATCACCGCTCCTGCCAGCTCAACCATAACATGTGTGAGACTAATGTGTATGTGTGTGTTTCAGGGTGTGTGAATGTGTGAACAAAATCAAAAGAGAAGGATCTGGTTTTATATGAATTTCAATGATGAGCTTCCTTGTCGGGACTGAACATCTGAATCGTATTAACACTTCATACAGGCTTGTAGCTTCAAGGGGCTGATTCATTTTGTCCGCCTGTCTGGACAACACAGGCTAACAATAATTAGTGTCCAAATAGGATAATAAGATTATGATAAAATTAATTAGAAATATCTAAATGTATGAGATATGTGAGCCGGTGTTTGGAATATGTTTTCAGCTCCCGACGGAGATAACTGAATGTCGCATGTTCCAAGTTCCTGCTAGAGCTTAATTGGCGGCAGCTGTATGCAATCAGCAATCAGGGATTTGACAGTAAATAAGAGCTTCACAGCAAGTCGCACACTGAAAGAAGCTTTAAAATGTCCCCCACTGACCCTACTGCTTCATTCAAATCCTAAAAGACACACTAAAATCTCACTCTTGATTTCTCCAAAAGGATATCACCAGATGAAATGATGTTAAAATGTGCAGCAGGTCAAAAGGGACGCTAGTTTTCAGCTGTGCTTTTATTAGCTGCCACATTAGGGGGTCTGTCACCCTTACAGGTCTTGATGAATTGCCTATAAGGCTTGATGGAAGATCTACCAAAAAGTCAAGGTCACCAGCATGGGACTTTTAATTAAAGCCTCATCTGTTGATAGCTTTGTTATTCATTAAATATGTAAAAAAATAAATCGTAAAGATATACAAAAAAAACCCCACATTGAGCCGACTCTCCAGGAGCTCAATGGGACATCTTAGACTAATATTCTAAATACCAAAATATAATTTGTAAAACATATTATGAATCTTTTCAATACATCCAAATCAGCACTCATTTGATATCATGCTACTTGAATACTTACATTGGTGTCTTTCCCTGACAGGACACATTCAGTCTTCCTCTGGGGGACAACGGGCCAGTGGATCTGAGGGGAGAGATCAACAAGCTGGTCAGATGTAAACCTGTACGGAGCTCAGCCAGGACTAATGTTTGTGTGGGACATTTCTTACTATGAGCGGCTCCTTGTTGATGTCATGCAGATCCAGGGAGAGGATATAATCTTTGCTGCCCACATACATGCGGTCGTGGTCCTCATCCATGCGAAGGATCCGATAGTCGGTAGAGTTCAGCAAAAAGGAGAAGGTGTGAGCGGTGCCGGTAGACTTTAATTCTGCAAAGAGACAAACGGAGTATTTAAATAAATAGTTTTCCTTTCAAGCTGTGCCTATAACACTGGAGTAGAAAAACATAAAATACAAATTGGGAAACACAAACCACAGGCATGGTCACAAGAGAAGAGTGTAGGCTGCTCACTTTTGGCACAAAGAAAAAAGTGAAAATAAATTATAATTAGTTTTGTACTTAGGTGATTTTCTCTCCATTTACTTTAAACATCTAAACCACAAACACACACACTGTATGATGATGATGTCATGATAGTATGCTAATGGTTTTCCAAATCTTCCCCCAGACTCTTCTAAACTCATTTACAGAAGCTGTTGGTGCTTTGTTCCCCTCCAGTTCTACAATTACATCTTGCCATTATGGGGTTATGGACATGCTAAATCTAGTTATAACATTTTGACAAAGGCAAGAAGGCCTACAGTAAATCTCACAAGAGTCTGAAAGGCATCAGACAAAACATAAATCACCTCCTGATGTATGGAAGCATTAAAGTGTCAAGAGAACTCTACATTACCATCCATTGTGGCCTTTGCTAAAGTGGCGTCTATGCTGCACATCTTGGATTCTATTTAGTGCTAAAATTAACATTTTTTTTATCGTTTTATCTGTAAATACTTTACTCAATTCATCATTTAATCTATACAATAATGAAAATAGTCAAATTGAATGTCTTTAAAAGCAGTTTATCCCCATATCTAAGAGGCTAAGAAGAACGTTTTTTTTCATTTTTGCATGATCACAATAGTTTAGGATTATTTCTTTGTTTTGGCTTCTGCAAATCGATCAGCCTTTGCAGCTCTACTTAAATAACTCCAATAGTACATCATTTTCAGGATATGGCATTCAGATTTTTTCCATTACAATTGTTTAATTCTGTGGAGCTGTGTTGGAGCTGATGGCCTATACAGGATCTCTTGTGAATTCTGCATTTCAACTGCAGCAGAGAAGATGCCAACCCATCCTGGGCTTGGCCTCACATCATGCATAACATTGCCACATCCTTTCCTCCAAATCCCCGTAAAATATATTCTGACATTAACTAACTTCAAATGGCTCACATACCACTCGGGCACATGGCGGGTGTGTGTGGGTGAGTTTAAGTTACACTCTGGGTGTGTGGGGAGATAAGTGGAGATCTGGTGGACGGAAAGCAGCTTTTCCTCCGGGTCCTCCCCTTACCTCCCGAGCTGTTAGAGAATCTGATAGGAGGTCTGTCTTTCTCTTGCTCTCTTTCAAAAACTATGCTTGAGAAAGTTGAGCCTGTACTTAAGCTGTTCTGTTTTCAGAGAAACCTAGAGGACCAGATAGAGGGGCTGTCCATGTTCCACTTCAATGGGACCAGACAAACGCCCCTTCTGTTCTCCTTGAGACCCTCTGATGCTGAGAAAGACTCAAATTGCTTTTCCTGACCAAGAGGAAGCAAAATGTCTTGTTACTTCACTGGTAGTAAAAGGCAGCATGATGTTCTCCACCTGCACAGGATATCTTGAAATGCTGACATGAATCCTCCATCTGAGAGCCCCTGAGCTCCTTCAGGAAATATTAAATTCTGCCGTCACGCTGCAGCATCACAGTGGGTCGGATAAGGTAATAAATAGGAATAGACATGGCTGTCACCCATGTCATGCTCATAATTTGCCTCCTAACACACATACTGTAATGCTGGTTCCCACTCGCATGGACAGATAGTTTTAGTAGGCCTGGACAGTTATGCACTTTTATTGCATTGGAAGCATTATGTGTCAAGAGAATATAACATTTCCTACTGCTGCTAGTTTACATTAAAAATATTCAAATGGTGAAACACACATTTTTTTTGTTAAGAAGTCAAAGGGTATGCAATGTACAGTAGATTGCAAGTGTCCGCTGTAGTAATGAATTGCTTTGTTATAACAACAAGTAACAATGTACAGAGCCAAATCAACTGAAACTGAAATGTTAAGAATTATAACTTTATTTGATATTGATTGTAACCACTTCACTCAGCCCTAGACCAGAGTGTATGCAGAAGCACATTAAAGTAGGACATGGTGCGGGCGGTGACAGCAACATGATGATGAATCACAGCCCCCCACTGAATGTCCTGAAATCTATGCTTGTGCAAAAACAGTGCACACACGCACACAAGAACACAGAGGACATCCTAAAATACTAGATGTCCATTCTTTCTCTGTCTCGTTTTTCGTCCTTGTCTACTTGTCAGCCACACACTCAGCCCAGCAGTCCAACAATACTGAGCTTCAGGAACACCAAACGTCACCAGCTGACATCCATATTCATCACCTCAAGACTCATATTCACACTGTGCCATCTAAATGACAGCCTGCCGGTGGTGACTGACTGTCACAAGTTCGACAGCGGTTAGGTCACAGTAAAGTTCAATGAGAGCGGAGAGACAGACAGACAAGACCGACTAGACAGGCAGACAGACAGATAAGCTAATACGTCACAAATAATAATTTGTCAAATCACATTATCAGTTAGCAGTAAATGACTTTAAGCATCTGACAACATTTTATCTCTCTCCCTCTACTCTAGCCAAGCTCCGTTCGGGATAACAGAATCAATATCAGCCTAATTAAAAAATATCACTTTTGGAGCAGACCTAATGTCATCTTGTCAAAAATGACCTGAATTATCCACATTTCATGAAAATAAGATACATCAGGAAGTGAGGTCCAAACTCTAATGGTAGTAAATAGGTGTGAGACAAAACGCAGAAAACAGTATGTCATTAGTGGGGTGTGGGTGAACACTTAATCACAGATCACATTGAATGGGATGATATGGGGGGAATCATGAGATAAAAAGAAAAGCCTGTCACTTTAAATCATTTCCTATCATCTGAAACACAAGGGACTCATTCTAAAAACCCATTTAAATCCAACATCAAGACTACATTTCCTGTCAGCAAATGAACAATGACTCCATTGTAGTTATAGTATATATTAACTCTATTCATCTTGCCATCTAATAGGTGAACATGAAATGCCACATCTTTGCGAGACAGACGAGACATGCTAAAACACATTTTCCTATGGATGCCTGTGGTGTGGTGAGATAAGGAGGAGTGAGGCATGATAACAGTCCACCTCAAAGCACTCATACGCTCTATTGTCAGCACAAATTCACATTCTCAGAAGCATTCCTGTGTGTTGAAGCTCAACCTAAATTAGGCATGCCTCTGAAGCCAAGGAAAGTGTAACAGAAAAAAACAGCCTTGATATAGTGTTAAACGGTTGAATTTATAACCAGCTAGTAAATTCAGAGATGATAGGGTACAAGTGTCTGTCTCTAAAGACCACAGGATCTGGTGTTTATCACAGTTTCCCAGCAAGATCTTTGTAATCACTACCAGATTACAGGCAGACAGATCGAAATTGTCTTTTTTTATGGTGTGTGTGGAATTTTGGTTTGTTGAAGATCCTTCTTTTTTTTTATAAATAAAACCCAATCTGTTCCTACCACTGCCCAATAATATGAATAACATCTGCTGGTAAATTGAGCCTGCAGTCTGTCCACCTGTTGATGTGACCCCTCTGCACTGTGGTCACTCTCCGCTTTGTTCTACAGCCAAGGTATGCAAGCCTTTTGGCCAAGAGTTGTACTTTGGCGTGGTTTTTCTGGGTCAGCCTCAAAGGGATATGAGCGACCTCTGCCTTAAATCGGTAAGGAGATGTCGAAAGACCCGGCGCTCAGACACTGCTGCCACTTATTTTCATGTCATTATCAGCCCCGCAGATCTCCCATTCTCTCTCCCAGTGTGTGTGTGCTTGTGTGTGTGTGTGTATGATAAGGGGTTCTGAGGAAGCAGGCAGCAGAACAACACACATACCTGCCCAGGCATTCCTGGTATGTTGTCTGAATTCCCCAATCTACTCATGTTCCCATTCTCGTAAGTAGAGGTGTGGTCCCCACCTTGCTGAAGCTTTTCTGCAGCCAAGCATGTGTCCCTAAGCATATATTCTTTATCAAGTGAGGGACAAACATTGCCTCTACAAGCGACTTCCTGTTTGTGTCAGTAATGGAAAAATTGCATCATTGCATTACATTACATGATCAAAACCCCTTTCATGTCTCTACATTAAAAGGTTAATGTTATTTTTCAAACTAAACCCTATTTACCCATGTTTTTGTGTCTAAGTGCTTAATGGGGACAACATTTTTAAATTAAGTCTATTATCGAATGAGAACTCTGCAGACGCCAGTCGTGCTGCAATGTAATTGCTAAGGGAAATTCCGCACTGTCAGTATAAAATCCCATTGCTTTTTTTAAATCAGCTATAAATATTCAACAAAAACCTTAAAAAATATTTTTGAATAACACTAAAGCTGTACTTCCTGTACTCCAACACAACAAACTAATCACTGGGAATCCACTCTCCAACTTTCACTCCGGTTTGCACCGTTATTCTCCAGCAACAAATCACATAACATACTGGAGTAAGCTAAAAGGTAAAGAAAAACGTATCCTTTCCATAATGTTGTGTCAGTCAGGCAAAAAAAGGTTTACGAAAACAAAATGACCGCAAACCCCTCGTAAGACGCAACTCTCCATTTATATTGTTTCAAACAGAGACAGGCTACATTTCTCCTTCTGCTTCCGTTATAACAAGTTAAACCAATAGTTTCGGGACTCTAGCTACTCACAAACTCATCTTACCCCCTTGATCTTTTCATCCAACTCTCGGAAAAAGAGTATAATTCGCAACATTTCAGTACTAGTTAAACAGTTCTAAAAATCTTTTCTGACCTTATCCAATAATTTGTATCCAAACCCAGTTGTTTTAGTTTAAGGACTTTTGGTTCATCTGTATTGTAAACTCATACAATCAAGGCTTGAAAGTACACTTGTCTATAGTGCAAATCCCAAGTGCATACTGAGTGTCTGACACTTATGTATCTTTTGAGGTGTAAGCGCTCAGGACGCAGAGGTCATTGCTGATACCAGAGGGGCTGAACAGCAGTGGGAAGCCTTATCAGCCC